TCGTCGAAGAAGTTATACTAGAATTTTGGTTCTATCAGACTGTTTATTCTACTACTAGTTAGGATCTTTATATTGTAAAAATTCGAGGATATTTACTCGGACCAAATAGAAACAATGTTTGCATGAAGACGAAAAAGAACAAACGAAAGAACAAAGAAAAAGTCAAGCCACTGAATACGCACTAATTGATACCGGACGATAATTCTTATAGGCCATGGGATGAAAACAAATGATGCTCTGCTCGACGGACAAATCTGTGGCTTTACCCAACTCGGGAAAGACTGTTCATTGACAAATCAAGTTTGTAAATGGATCCTTTCGTTGCCATCGATATAACGGACTATCTTCCATCCCTAAACACTATAGTTTTTATGTGGTCGGATAGAGTACAGCAGGGTCTAGCAGAATATGTGTGAGGCTTCATCTTCTGACCCTAAAATATAGCCAGATAACATTTTTGCAACGAAAACATTCGAGTACGTTTCACGTATGTCTTGCAAACGCCTATACATTTATTTTGAAGTTTTCTGATCCACGTTACAGACAAATCCGTGACATTTTGGCACTAAACTGATAGAATCATGCACTACTAACAATCAAGAGATGTGAAGAATATTTGATCTTGATGACACGAGTTTTGTGTTATATAGTCTGAGAGTAAGCGCTACATCTTGAGGGGACGCTCATTCGTCATGTAACTGAGAGTTGTTATATTTCTAAGTTATTGGGAGTACTCATTTGAAACAAAAAATAGATTGCATTCATAGACTCTATATCTATATTCAAACATAATTACGGTTTTGAGTCCCGTCAATTGTTGAATTGCAGGAAGTTTGCCGATAGGACTTTTACCAGTATCAGTTGGTGAATGTTCAGCGAGCTTTTGCCAATGCTTGTAGAAATTTTGTATTGATTAGAGAGATTTGTATCAACTGCATTTATGAGTACAAGCATCAAGACACGTTTCTATAAGATTTAATATAGTTCTTACATATATACTACATTCATGTTATACTTCGGCCAGTTGTACAAGTTCACACAATCTTCACCTAACAAATGACAAAAGCTCACGGAAGCTTCGCGAATACGTTCCACAGATTTTTGTCAACAATTGACAAAAGTCTTGTTGGCGAATAGTAGGATTCCTCAAATGTTGACGATTGCTTTAGCAAAAACAGCATTTATCATCGCTGTTCTTTTGCGAAAAATTTGTTGAATTGATTCATGCAAACTTTCCTAATGGTACTCGACCCACTGTGCAAATACTGGGCATTTTCTTGCTAAAAATGTTCACATCCCATTATCTAGAATATTTTTGAATTAATACCTACGATGTATTTTGATGCAGATTTTCAAACTACACCTTATAAAAAACAGATAGAATGACTAAAATTAAAAAGAGAAAAGCTATAGTTAACATTGCTTTTGACTGATTGAGGCTATAATGTGTAAAACATGTCTAATGTAGGTTATAACAAAATATGACTGACTCGTATTACAAACCGCTAAAAGATTCAGTGTTATGGTGTTTCGATGGACGTTCTGATCCTTGGGCCGATGATGATATACATGAACATGACTGGATTCCGTATGATGACATACAAAACGATATGATCGACTCGGCTTATCAGAAGAAAGAGCACACAGTTGCACTTGATGGTTACACGGTTGATTTAGAGAAAATGGTTCAATATAGAACTGATGATCACAACAAGCGACGTCGAGTCCGACGAATAACCGAAAATTTGGCAGCGATACGCATGTCCTATCCATCTGCTCGCTTATTGGAACCTCCGGAACTAGCCTCGAAAACTTTCGATGAGTGGAGTATAACACAATGCCCTTTGGTGAACGAATGGGTCGCAAAAAACCCTAACTATAAAACAAAGTTGAAAGACACCAAAGAGCAAATAGCGTCTGGAATCGAAGCGATAGGTTCACACACCATGAGTTTTACTACGAAAAGAGCTACTAATACGCTTGAGGCTCGACACGTAGCTACTCGTATTCGTCGCGAAAATTGCAATTCAATTCATGATATCATGTATCTTTGCGTACAATTGTACACCGAGGACTCATTTCTCTACAGAGTCGTTAATCAGGCTTTGAGACAGAAAGATATAAAACAAGTAGATACACTTGGACCTTTTTGCTGTATGTTAAACAACTTTTTACACGAAGATCAGGACACTATTCATAGGGTCGTCTATCGGGGGTCAAATCTTAATACAGAACACATTGAAGCATACAAGAAAGCCGTGGGTGAAATTAAATCTTGGCTTGGATTTTCTTCAACAAGTTTAAATCGTACAGTAGCCGAGAGTTTCGAGGGTGCGAATACTCTTTTTATAATTGAATTTAAAAGCGATACAGATCCGTGCTATCCTGGACGTGATATTTCTAAATACTCAAGATTCCGCGACGAACAAGAAGTATTGCTGTATCCTGGAGTCGACTTTCGCATCAATAGTGTCAAAGAAACAGGAAAAGAGAACCTCAAATATATCATTTATTTGACTTTGATGTAGTACCTTAATTGCTATCTTCTCCATTACTTGGTATGAATATAGAGTGAAACTTTTATATTTCGTATGCGAACCTTGTCGATGTATTTCAATAAATGATACGCATACCTTCTTTCGCAATCATAGTTACACAAACGATACATCATCATCATATAACTTTTCTTTCTTTATACTCTAGATTTGTAGTATTCTCTTCTTCGATTTTTTTTGTGTGATAGTCATCTTCTGACGAAACCGAACAACGTGTGACGATAGAACCCAAGATTGTTCATTATCATTCTGATACAAAACAACAATTCTACGGCGAAATCTGAACGACGTAAACAATTATAAACCGTATTGCAAAAAAACTGAATTAAGTTCTATCATTTATGACGAAATATTGAACAAGAAAATTCATAAATCACTGTATGAATAATGTCGAAGAAGGCTGAGTTTTTATATGCATATCATCAAATCTTCTTACAAGAAGTTTTAATAAAAATGATCGGAAGCATAACCTTATTGAGCACATAATTATAATAGATTTTGTCTCTATAACTGATTGAATCATGCTGCAATAATGAGAAAAAGTGTGATCAATAGAATGGAAACGAGTGTTTCAGCATAAGTCGATTGAAACTAAAGCATGTTTATGAATAATAAATATTGGTATCTTTTGATTAGATCGGAAATATCTTGAATCAGCGACAATGAATCATCCCCATGTACCAACACTTGAAGATGTGCTCGAAATGATTTCAAAAATTATTGACTCGGTCAGAGACGTTGGTGAGTACACAGAACAATACGCGGCAGTGCACCAAAGACTTCAACGTTTGAAGGACAAATTGAATGGTTCAACTGATCAGTTGCAACATAAACTAGGAAAACGAGTATTTGATAAACTTATTCATCGTCTATACCGTACTTTGACGATGCTGAGTAAGCTTATATATCAATGTCAGAACCCGAACAAACGATTGAAAGGTCTAGAAAAACTCAGAATGGATCAAGCTCTAAAATGTGAGCTCGACGAGATCATGTTCTCGTTGGTCAATGATGAAGCCACTATGACAAGTGATCTTAGAGAGAGAAATGAGATTCTGTATTCTGCCCTTCGTGAGAAGCAAGTAACGGATAAAAATCGTCAGGAAGTTCAGATAGTCGAACGCACTGCTATGTTAAGCATGATTCAAACGAAAGCCAAAATCAAGGCAGAAGAAAAACTTCCAAAAACTGTACGAGAAACATAAGGAAATCATCGGTTGCTATTTAGATCAGTGTAAACATTCTCATACTGGTATACAAATAGTAGGATTAGAAGGTAGTATAAACAATTTTCGCTGTAAAATATATAAGTTGCCCGAATTGAAAATTTCACCTGCAATCTCCGCTCAAANTGATTTTCATTAACATTAATATTAATGATTAATGAAAAATCATTAACATTAATATTAATGTTAATGTTTTCATTAATCATTAATATTAATGAATTAAGTTTTTAAAGGAAAACATTAACCATTAATATTAATGGTTAAGTGAAGCCATTAATTAATGACATTAATTAAGTCCCATTAAATAAAATGGTCCACCCCTACTCACAAGGAACATCTCCAATTGTTTGATCGCCTTTGACGTAGCATTTTACCCAGATATATGTCTTAGTGGACTAGAAGCGGCATGAATTAGTTTAGAATCCTGAGCCTTCATTATCGAGATAAGGCCTTCATAATTTGTCATCGCTTTATATATACTAGTTTTTTCTTATCAATCTCGACTATTCACATTATTACAGATATGAGAGGTTCTTTTTTCCATCATCGATTACCAGACATAAACCACTTTTCTCTGCAAGAAAATGAACAATCTTCTTCCAACAGATACATCTGCAATGGAACTGAATCATATTCAAAACATTCCCATGTAGAGTTTGGAATTCGATTTGTATTCAATAGCACCCTTCATTGTTCCAATTTTGTGAGACAAAAATGGCAAATAATAAGATTTTTAAAAATATCAGGCATGTAAATGAAACCGTAACTTCATCTTATAATACTAAAAACAACGAGTTCACCATATACGTAATTAATAAAACTATTCTGTATCGGAAAAGATTTCGGAAATTCTCGACAGAGCTGAAGTGTGTGTTGTCTTTAGACAAAATACAGTGCAACTGATACAAAAATTTTCAGCTCTCTAACCACGGTCCATATGATAATATTGATATATCAATACGAACGATAGTATCAAGGATGAAAACTTATGAAAATTCTATTTCGATAACAAAGGCTCAGGAATTCAAACTGTTTTCAAGCTTTTCTAGTCTCACCAGCATCTACATGTGAGCAAAATATCATGTTAAAAACAATAAGAATGCATTATAAATGGTTCCATGTCAGAGTACTCTGATTGAGCAGTAAAGTTATGAAGACTTGACGCAATAAAAAGTCCTACTTTTCGTACGGTAATGAAAACTACTAGTATTAGAACACCATGATCCATCGCTCAACTATCAAATGTTCGCATTTATATCTTATAGGAGAGCCATTACCTCGAACTCTTGCTGGCAAGCTTCTGGGATGTCTTGAAGAACATACTCAGCTCTTAAATACGTACGGTGTTACTGAAACGACACTCGATTGTACCTATCGTCGTGTGTTTGACGCTGATGTTCTGCCATCAGCATCAACAGCCTTTATTCCCATCGGATTGCCACTGCCCAATTACGTTTGTCATATCATGATCAATGAGGACGAACCACAAGACGGTGTTGGTGAATTATATATTGGAGGACCTTGCGTTTTTCGAGGCTACTTAAATCATGGCACAAATTCAGTCGACAGTCGTCTGGTAGAAATCGACAAAAAAATGTGCTATCGTACAGGCGATCTTGTCAAGATCATCAATGGTGAGCTTGCCTATACAGGTCGACGAGATTTTCAAGTCAAAATTCGAGGTATGTACACTGATGCAAAGTAAGTTGCTATGTTTGTATCGTATTATTTTTGAGGTCAACGGATTGAGACAGGAGAAATCGAGGCGATTATATTGCGCGAATGTCAAAAACAGCTGGACGCATGTCTTGTCGTGGCGAACGACGATCGTTTGATTGCTTATATTCAAACTCGCGAACCCGATCTGATCGTCGAACAGCACATCAAGAAAATATGTCATCAATATCTTCCGCCGAGTATAAACCTCTTTGCTGTCGTCGTTCTTGACAGATTTCCTTTGAACGCTAACGGAAAAATCGATCGTGCTCGTTTACCACCACCTGAGTCTCACGTAACTACTTTGTCTATCAACAATGTACCTCACACAGAACTCGAAGTTAAACTTAAAACCTTTTGGTGCCAACTTTTGAAGATTGATAATGTACCACGTGATGCCAACTTGGTTACATTGGGTGCTAATTCTCTTCATTTCATGTTGGCTACCAATCACTATTGTCATCATTGGTTGTCAAACCAGCCTCAAGTTGATTTATCCGCTTTCTTCAAACGGCCGACCATCTCGCAACACGCTCAACTGCTTGCAGCTAATGCACAGACCACATTCTCTACTACCATCGTATCATGCTGTTCGCCATCCAATCTCACTGAAGGTATATTTTATCTTATGTTTATATGAGAGTATAGATTGTACTATAAGAATGAATAGCAGATTTAGAGAATATGTGAACAGTTGCAGTTTTGCTAATGAGACAGATTCATGCGAACTGCTGCTTTGTTTTAAACTTTTCCAACTAGCCAGATTTTTCGTTTTGGCTTAAAGCTGTGATGAGAAATAGACAAGCTTTTTATTCTTACATTGATCTTACATGTGCACGTGAAGAGAAGAGGAATGATCAAGAAAGAAAAATATTATTTAAGTCCACAACAGCATCTGCTTAAGACTGGCAAAACATCAGTCTTCAATGCTTCCTATCGAAGAAGAAGATTTAATCATTAAATCAATGTCTACTGAATAGAGTTTGCTAGTTTAAATTGTGAAAGTTAGATGCGGTTGTATTCAGAAAGTGAAACGTTAATGTGCTGAGATAATGCAGGTAATGATTGGTTTGATGGGTACTCCATGCTAGTTCTGCGTTTGTACAGAATTGTCAAAAATGTTTTGCTCGACAGTACAGCTCTAACGACAAATTATATCAATATTGAATTTCATATTAAATGAAAGCTTGTCGAAAATGGAATTAGCAGATATACTGATAATTCGATAGATGACATTGACTATAAAATTATTGAAGTTCTTAGAATTTGTTAAAATGCACGACTGGCAATACTGTACTCGAGTTGATATCATTTGAACCGCAAATGGTTTTAAAATGATGAATGTATTAGACTAATGTTTATTGTTTCTGAATTTCATGAGCATAATCGGTAATCAGGATGACGACCATTGGTTTTTTTCAAAGTATTCAGTCTTGCTGAATACGAACAGAAAATATTTTTGAAAAGTCCTGTATTCATTTTCATATTTTTCAAGACATTAAAAATGTGATTTTTCACCGTTTCTTCACCATACCTATCACTTCCAAGCTCCGATAATATTCTTTTCTCAACGTTATCTTTGCTTATTGTTTCAATATGTTCAGCTACGCTGAGATCGGGTGAATTTCCAGACCAAATAGTGTTACTCCAAAAATTGGTATTGTTGTCCTGAATCAATTGTTGATTCACATTTGCTTTCATACATGGTGCTTTTTCATGAGCAAATATAACTTCATTCATATCAATGACCTGTTCTTCACTTGTGAGGAAAGGAAACACATGTTGAACCAAAATAGTGTCATAAATATATTGACCATTCCAGAATACATCTTTATCTTTCATCACCCAATGCAACTTTTTGCCGGTGAAAATGACAAAAATGCCAATACATGCTTGATATTTGACCCTTTCACGATACCATTGATCCTCTTCAATATCTTTGACTCATTCGACCCAAATTCTGTCGCTCTGATGAGTTGGCTTGCGAACTGGCCAAATAAAAAACTCATCGGCTGGCGTGAGACGCAAAACATCCTCTTAGCTTCAAGTTTTTGTTTTCAACGGCTTGTAAATAATATGAAAAGACATCAATCTCACCTTGTGTCAATAATTATCAATCTTACTTCAGACAACATCCTCTTTCTGTCTCTCGATGATCTCTCTTGCCCTGACGGAGGAACGTTTTCTTTGTTTACCGCATGCATTAAGAATGATGCTTTGATTCTCCTTCCATAATTTGAAAGTATGGCCACACGCTCAATAATCTGCCAGACATTCGTTATACGACTTATTCCACTATTGGAAAACAAATTGTATCGAGCAGCGAACCTTTTCTGTAACCCATTGTCGAGTGATATATGTAGCATCGGCGGCACGAACCTCATGAGAAGCAACGCATCCAAATTTGATGAATGATTCTCTGCTGGTCATTGTGACAAGTTTCGACCATCATGCGAATTCTATGAATCAATTTTAATTTCACTGAGATCTATAATGACAAATGCACGTTTGTGAAATGTCAATAGAATTTGGCTAAAATGTGCATATAATTATGAATGCCTATCATTTGCCACAAATTCTGATTCCTTGAATCAATACCTAAATAAATCCACATTTTTAGATAAGTAAACAGTTAGTCTATTCTGGTATTCAAGTAGAAATTCTTTTAAGTATATTTATTTCGAGACTTTAAACAGTTCAGTTACAATTCTTTATCGTATTAATTGATATTAGTATGGCACAAGTAGCGCTCATCGACAGTCGATTTGCTTGGCCCTCGACTGAGCTACTCGACTTATCTATCATGGAATCTTCAGATAAATGGACATTAAGATAACGATCGGTAGTCTAATAACAGGTGCGGAGCAAGATCTAGACCCATTCCCACACCCTCAAGGTCAGCAGTCTTTCAAATGTGGATTTCACTTATTTCTCTAAACTCGAACATATAATTTACTTTGAAACCATCAATAATAAATCACTATAATTGTGACTGACAATGAATGCTTTAATATTCAAGGTACTCTGTGCAAAACAATTTAATTGCGCTATTATCATCAAAATTCATTTTCAATCAAACTTTATGAAAAGATAACTGCGTTGTTTAGATACCATTAAAACCATCCTTCTGAGACCCAATCATGCCATCAAAATATTGCTGCTCTTAACTCTTTCTGTAGTGATTTACGCAAGTTTCTATCACCATCGGTTGCGTTTCTAACATTGATGTTTATGTATGATAGAATTGCGGCTGTACCTACTAGGAGCTTACTTATAACGCCGTTTGTACATGAAACTCGATGCTATGCATACGATGGTTTCTATTCTCGATATATTCACTTGTAGCATAACTGTAGTCATTTAAAGCATCAATATCGTCATTAGTACCATGATGCTTTGAACCATGGTACAGTGTACCATGTGTTACAGACAGACCAACAGACACAGGTGAACTTTCGTTTCCACACACTATCGTTTGGTCATTCGTACCACCCATATGGTCATCTCTGCCAAGTATTACAGACAGACAGGTGAATTTCAGTTTCTAGACCCTATCCTTTCAGTCTAGGGAAAAATCAACTGATAGCATCATACAGAATTAGCTTTGCATCAAAATATGTGACTTTCACTCAAATTTTGTATAATTGCTTTATAGAAACTTCAAACTTTGTCAAAATTTACGTCAGGTTCAGCGCGCTGTCTCTTCTCTATTCGAAAGAAGATTTAGACTTCATCAGATATATAAAAAGCTGCCAGGCTGGATAGAAATCGTTGAAAATTGATCTGTACCAATTTTCGATCAGATCCTATTTAACTTGATAGTAGGGGTGGACCATTTACATTAATATTAAATTAATGCTGATTTTTTCATTAACCATTAATATTAATGAATTAAGTTTTTATAGGAAAACATTAACCATTAATATTAATGATTAATGAAAACATTAACATTAATATTAATGTTAATGTTTTTTCATTAATCATTAATATTAATGTTAATGAAAATCATTAACATTAATATTAATGGTTAATGTTTTCCTTNATTTCAGAGCTTTGATATGTGATTTATTTTAGGTACAACAACAACTACTACGACAACTACTACAACAACTACAACAACAACTACAACAACAACTACTACAACAACTACAACAACAACTACTACAACAACTACAACAACTACAACAACTACAACAACTACCAGTAAGTAATAGACTAAATAGTTAGATAGTATTCATGGTAACAGCCTCATGAAACACTTTTTGAATATTTGAAAATTTTTGAAATTGACATATTGAAAAATTGCCCAGAAAAGTGATAGTTTCACCTTCAATCTCTTAAAAAAAGAGAAACGGTATATCACGATTTAGAAGCTCATGCAATCAAGAGCAGTCAGGAGGGGATGAAGCGACTTCAGTTTCTTGATTTTTATGTACTCAAAAAGTGAGTACACTCTAGAATCGGTCAGTGTGTCCGTCCGTCTGTTTACAAGATAACTTTTGAAAGGAGAGTCCGATCGCGATGAAATTTTCTACACAGTTTAGTCTTAACAATATCTCGGTCGAGTTCGAAGATGAGAATGATTGGCTGAGCCATTCATGAGTTATTACAAAAATAGTCATTTTTCCCTATGCTTCCATATGAGAAGATAGACCTTTCTCTGTTTTCGTAAAAAACTTTTCCTATCATAGTCAAATAAAACCCCAACTATTATATACCATTCGATAGAGAATTTCAAGAGCTAAAAAATGGTATATAAAACTAAGGAAACAAGAAAGTTAACTGGCCTATTGCAAAGATAATTAAACGGAATTTGGTTCTGTTTTTGTTCACGCTCTAATTTATCCATAAATAGAGCTCTATCTTTCGATCACAGAGATGGTAATTCGAGGTTTTCTGGGGTGGAGAACTCGAATCTGTGTTCCATGCGCCACGAAATCTCATTGGTTGAGCAGTAACCAATAGAAATCAAGTTATAGGAAAAATGACTTTCTTAGGGTAAATCAAAGTGAAAAGTTCAAATCTGAGCTGTATTCACCCCGAAATAGAGGTGGACCATTTACATTAATATTAAATTAATGTTGATTTTTTCATTAATCATTAATATTAATGAATTCAGTTTTTATAGGAAAACATTAACCATTAATATTAATGAAAATCATTAACATTAATATTAATGGTTAATGTTTTCCTTTAAAAACTTAATTCATTAATATTAATGTTAGTGTTTTCATTAATATTACGTCATTAATATTAATGATTAATGTTCTCATTAAACATTAATTAATAGCATAAATTCATTAATATTAATGCTATTGCTCTAATTAAACACTAACATTAATATCAATGAATTAAATTTTTCAAAGAAAACATTAACTATTAACGTTAAAACATTCAAAGTTAATGTTTTCTTTTGAAAAATTTTATTCATTGATATTAATGTTAGTGTTTAATTAGAGCATCAACGTTAATATTAACGAAGTAATATTATTGATTAATGTTTAATGAGAACATTAGTCATTAATATTAATGACTTAATATTAATGAAAACATTAACATTAATATTAATGAATTAAGTTTTTAAAGGAAAACATTAACCATTAATATTAATGTTAATGATTTTCATTAACATTAATATTAATGATTAATGAAAAATCATTAACATTAATATTAATGTTAATGTTTTCATTAATCATTAATATTAATGAATTAAGTTTTTAAAGGAAAACATTAACCATTAATATTAATGGTTAAGTGAAGCCATTAATTAATGACATTAATTAAGTCCCATTAAATAAAATGGTCCACCCCTACTTGATAGTGTTTCATAAATCTGATCAAGTCAAAAATTTCTTTCGGATAGAAAAGACAAAACTAGCTATGTATGACTTAAAGTTTGACAGTCTGAAGAATATTATAAAAGTATAAAATATTCGAATGAAAGTCTAAAAAATTGATATAAGCGTGTGCATAATAAGAAGAGTGTGAAGCCTCAATTTGGATCAGAACGCAATCTCTGTTACTCTATGGATCCGTGCGAAACTCTATACAAAACATCTTTTCTCTTGCTTGCTCGTAGAGAGTTTAGTACGAAACTTGTGATGCGCCAACCAAAATTTGTTTTTTCCTCATCTGCCCGTGAAGAGAACATTTTTAGTTTCGGTAAAAAATCTATTTTTTACAGTGCTCAACACTCATCAACAGTCACGTTTTATTTGTCTTATTGTTTTTGTAAAACATCTATTTTTCTTCTAACAGAACTGGTTAGATTATAAAGTAATTTAATATTGAGACGTTCAAAGAGTCGCTCCATATCTCTACAGATTGTCAGATATTTTATGATTGAGTCGCACTTTCGATTCTAACATTGTGAAACTTTTTTTCATAGCGCCGGCATCATTCGAGCAGGAAGCTATTTGGCTAGATGAGCAGATGCGGTTTCGAAGTGGCAATGATGGCGTTGCTGTGTATCATATCGTGCTCGCTTTTCGTGTCGTACCGACTGACGGAAAATCCCAACTGGTAATATCGCGTCTTCGATCAAGCCTTCAACTGCTTGTTGAAAAGCATGCGTCACTACGTACTTGTTTGCAAATATCTGACGACAATCTGAGTGAATTACGTCAACGTACTCTGCCGTCTAGTTCATTCCAAGTTCCTCTTGTCGAAAGTTGGATCGACAGTGATAACGATCTCTACAATATCATTGCTGATGATGAAACTAATCGATCATACTTCAATCTGACTCAGGATCATGTCTTTCGATGTCGCGTGATCCGATACCGTGAAGGGAATAATGACAGCGTCATTGTTTTCAACTTTCACCATTCGGCATTTGATGGCACCAGTGAAGTTCTATTTCTCGATGATCTATGCGAAGTTTATTCTACTGGTGAACTCACCGATTTTACAAATGAAGCACCTAGTTATCTTGACTATGCCCGATGGGAACGGCAACTGGACATGTCAGCGTCTCTGGCATTCTGGAAAAATCAGCTGAAAGATCATCAAATACTTGAGCTTCCCTATGATCGAGTCTGTGCAGAAATCGTTCGAACAGGTAGAGGATCATCCGTATTTGTGCATAATGGGGATGCACTTGGTATATACGCCCGTCAACAACAAGTAACACTTTTCCAGTTATGTCTTGCTACGTACTATGTGTTTCTCTACAAACTCATCGGCAGTCGAGATTTGATGGTAGGCAGTTTTGTCGCCAATCGAACACGACCCGAACTAAGTTCGATGATTGGCATGTTTGCTAATCTGGTACCATATCGTCTCGCGATTGAGCCACAGGAAACATTTCGACAATTGATCGAACGAGTACAAAACCTTTGCCACAGTGTACTGTCTCACATTGGCCTACCCTTTCAGACTTTGTCCAAACTTCTACATCCAACACGGGGTATTGTTACAACTTTGGATTTCGAAACCGTTGTCACTCAATATTCTCTCGATAACAATCTTCAACTCTCGCGTATGACTACACCTGTGAACACGATGCCGTTTGATCTATCGCTTTCATTCAAATACGATCTCGTAACAAATATAATCACTGGTACATTCGACTATTCTCTCGATGTATTCGATCATCAGACTATTGAAACACTCGCTCATCGATTTCAACTGCTCTTGGCACAATTGCTGACCGACGACCAACGACCTATTTATAAATTAAACATATTACTCGATAGTGAACGACAAATATTACACAATTTCAATCCTGCTATTCTGACACCAGACTTTGAACCTTGCCACTGGATATTTTCTCGTCGAGCAGACGATCATCCACAAAAAATTGGTATCGTCATGGAAGATCAGAGTCTTTCATACAGTGAGATCCTCTATTATGCACAGCAGTGGGCCATGCATCTCCTCGTAACATGTCATGTCAACGTTGGTGACCTTGTACTACAAGTTGTAGAACGAAGTATTCACGCCGTGTTGGGTGTTTTTGCTATATGGATGTGCGGTGCTGTTTACGTACCATTTAATCCTCGAGATCCGATTGCACAACTCCAACAACGTATTCATAATTTAGAGGTTGATATCGTGCTTGTTCACGATGCAACACGATTCTATGTTACGCTCGATTCTGATATTACTATTGTCGAATTAGATCGAATTCCTCTAGAACAACACAGCGATGTATCCGCATTGGATTCGATTTCGGTTATATCTGATGATCTTTCGCATATTGTTTTTACATCAGGTTCCACAGGCACGCCGAAAGCGGTAAGATATGAATCACTATGCAAATACAACAGTTGATGACTAAAATCAAAAACACTAGGAAAATATCATTCTATGTTATGTCAGAATTTTTTGAGAATATCAGATTTCGAGCCAGAATTGGCGTATGTTCCTCACATTACGAGAAGATGTTGGCCTACAGAACTGAACAATTTCCCCAAGCATCCTAAAATCCTTTTTTCTCATGTTTAAAAGTAGTGTTATGTTGAATTTTGGGACACCTTACGAAACCTTGCAAAAATAAAACATTTTTCGTGTACTATTTGCATTTCAATTTCCTTTCTTCAATGATTGCCTAGTAGAAAAGAATGTTGTCGTATTGTTCCAAAGTACTGAAGAAAAATTCTCAGTCTAATCAGATAATATCATTCATCAAAAGAAAAAGATGTAAGTTATATTATTGTTACCATTATTGAGTGTAGAACGACTTTAATTCCAGTAGGATAGATCTATTTGAACTAAAAATTTTAGAATTTTCTTTCCTATCATTTTCAATAGAAACTTTGAATATGAAATAAGCAGTGTTAGTAATTGAAAAGGCGACGACAAGTTTCAGAGTCATTTTTGACCCCAGAACGGGACATATATAGGATTGTAGAGGCAGACGTGCTCCATTCAGTAGTATGCTGATTATGAAATTCTATTGTGCACCGCCCAAGAAAAATAGGCGAAAAGGTATAAGTTTCATAGATTTTAGAGCTTTCCGTTACCAGAATCAAATAAGTAGTATAAGATCAAGCTAAAACATACTCCAATTAT